AAACGATTTCAATACTTGGAATATTCATACATATATCAAATACATGCTGACTGGCTGGAATTCGGGTGTGAAACAAGACATGAATCTTAAAATACAAAAGTATCAAGTATCTGGCAAGTACCCTCTAAACACACCCTTAACTTTAATATTGTGTCAGAGATAATAAATATAATAGATTTAGGATAATAAATATTAAAAGAAAAAGGAAAAAAGAAAAACAAAAAATGATCAGGAAAGCCATTCTTTTCCAAGTCAATTGGACCCCTTACAAATACAAATTCCTAATGATAACCAGTATTTTATGGAGAAATTAAAATTCAATTTACAGAATGTGAAAACTGACTTTCTGAAGGAAATTTACAAATCCATGTTTAAAGGCAGAAATAGTACATGAAAATGAAATAAAAATAGATAAATATTAAATATTAACGTTTTAACATACAGCATTGGCAAATTCACTTTAGACTTCAGAAGAAACTGGATAATGTAGGAGGGGAACGATACAATGATCCAATTGACTGAAAGTGAGATGACTACCTCTCGGTCAGAAAACAAAATATGAAAGATCAATGCTCTAATAACTGATTAACTGCTTGACTGTAAGTGACTTGTTTCACACATGACTCAAAACTCAATCAAGCCACTGCGAAAATAGCTAATTCAGAACAGAGTTTAAAGAAAAACGTCCTCTCATAACTAAATTAACAAAAACACACAAAAAATCCAATGCTAAACAGTTTAAATATTTTTCTAAGTATATCTTGAAACAGCAATGCTTTTTTTTTTCATAGAGTTTTTAACATTATGGAATAAAAATATCTTAGCAGAGTTCCTTGAAAAACAAATCTGAAAAACTGACAAAGTGACGACAAAGAGTCTTTTACCCCTTTAGAACTAGTTATTTCCTGGTTCTTCGATAAACTGGCAAAGATCCTAAGAGCAAATACATAGCGAGGAGGCTGTATACAGCAAACCTGAGACTAGAATGCTGTACTTTTTTATGCCAATAATGCGTGCACTAAACATGTGTTTGCAAACAGCACAAGCTCCTCCTGCGCAAGTTTCCTGCGCACACTATTTGTGTGCATGTCATTCATGTGGGCGACAATACGGTACGTGAGGAGAGTTTTATTTATGTGGGCTCTCTATATGCAACAATACAGTACATGAGGAGAGCGTTATTCATATGGGCGCTCTATATGCAACAATACAGTATATGATGAGAATACAGTACTAATAAGACTAGGCAATAAATGACTTCCATCAGGTCAGCGAACTTCATTCTGTATGGCCCACATCCCTGAGCTGGGCCAACTGTCTTATGATAGACACTGGTGGTAAAAGGGGACTGCATGTGTGACAGCAAAAATCAATTCCTAGGGGAAGAAAGCCAGGCTGAAGCACAGGCCAGTGATTCTCACTTGACAAGGAGAGCATCAAGGATGTAGGTGGGAAAGTATTCCCATCACTGGATTTGAGATCAGAGTCCTACTCCAATCCCACTGCTAACTGAATGTGTGTCCCTTAACAAGTTATTTCACTTCTGAAGTGTAGTTTTCCCACTCCTAAAATGAAGGGGCTGAACACGAGTCACTTTTTAGAACAAACGTATGTGGTTCCAAAAAGACAAACGATCTGAAAGGACATGCTATAGTTGGAGTGTTCCTCCAAAAACAGTCATTTAAAAACTCCTTATACACTCAGCATGCCAAAAAACACTGCTGAAAAGATTTTACCTAATAAAGGAAACAACTAATTTTAAACACTTTTAAAATGTTTTCAATTAGGCAAAGGAAATGGAAACTGCCCTTCCCATGACAGGTTTCAGACAGATCAACCTTTAATAATTAACTGAAGCAAACAAAAATTTCAATACAAATACAGAACAGATAAAAACATGGCATTTGTACATGTAGGTGCCTACTACCTCCTAACATTTTCTCCCATAGGTCAAGGACACTATATAGCTTTGCATGTCTAAAGAATAAATACACGTGACTCTCCTAGAAGTTCCTGGGTGGAGCAAAACTAGTTTGAAATAATGTCTGTGCATATTTTAAACAGCAGGTCTCATGGAACCAGTATGTACCCTGAATCCCGGAAACATTTGCTGAGCAGCTACCCTGGGTAAGTCCCCTGATAATCACCGGAGGACACAAAGTTGAACCGTCAATTGTTCAACTCCAGTAGAAGTTAATTCTAACTGGGGCAGGGGAGGTATTAGCTAAGCATTGTTTCAAAGCAGACATGGTTACAATGTACATAGGTTTTCAGATTTTCACCCTCTGTCATTTTTGATTATTACTAAAAATACTAACTCATCTAGCTAAAATTATTCAGCTAAACATTCAGTCTCCTGAGGTATGTGCCAAATATTTGTAAGACATGAGAGAATTCTGGTGCAGCTCTTGGTAACAATTTCAAATATTTTGGTATAAAACTACAATTCATCGTAACCTTAAAAGTAATCTAAGAATGAGCTTAAACCACAATCACCATTTCAATACAAAGCAAGGATGCACAGCTAAAATTCTGAAATAACAAAAGGCCCTTCCCGCCTCCCCACAAAAAAACAATGATTCAGAACCTAAAGTTCCTTAGGTTTCTGGTGTGAAAAAAAAGACAAAAAACTGTGAAATGGTTTTGTATTATGGTTGATTATTATGTGTTCAAAGGAAAAAAAAATAACCTACCAAGATAGGACCATATTTAATGGTACATTTTTTCCAGAGTATCTCCTCTAGATGAAGCTTTCACAGACTAACAAGAGGACAACTGCACTGAGCAGGAAGTGGCTCCTCCACACCACGGTGCCATCTCCAGAATGACTACGGCTTAAGATACGTGGGCTGACACTGCTCTTCAGTGCTAACAATTTGGTAACTCCGAAAGTGGAAGAACAGATAGTTTATCAAAGATGACCATGTCATAAACCAAGTAAAAGCAGAAAAGAACACAGCTCAGGACTGGAGCTCACCAAGGTCCCCCGCCCATCTTATCAAGGCCTCACTGATCCACTGGCTGGCAGGGCTTCCCATCATCTCCTCTGCTTTCTCCACAGAACATAAGAAGCACCACTTCCTGTTAGAGAAGACAGGTTTACTGCTGCCTGTATGGTACATACCCACTCCTGCCTCCAAGACTGCATTCAGGAAGCTTCCATCAACATGGGCGGCCCTTCCTTACCCCTGGTAACACAAATCCAAAATACCACAGGCAAGACCCCTTCTTGCCTCCCCAACAACTAGAGGCTCCCTCATGTCTACCAGATTCCAGGATCACACAGTCACCACTTCCCTATAGGATTTCAATTTCCTCTCTTCAACTACACTGTAAAGTTCCTGGAAGGAGTATCCCTATTTCCTATTTGTATTCTTCACATGGCCTAGCTCACTGTTGGTCAAACAAGAACCCAAATATTCACTTTTAATTGGTTTAGTACCGTATTTTAATGTTTAGAGTATTTAGGGGAAATAACTTTAACCTTTTAATGTTGTAATCAGTTACAAGACACACTACCAGCAATTAAAATACCATGTTACTAAATGATTAAAACAAAAAAAAAGAAAAAAAAAGAGGACACTCTAAGTATGGTGTCTTGAATGGAAGGAAAAAGGAGGACCAGGAACTAATCTCTTCAGAGTGTTTCACAAGTGAATCTCGTGGAGAAGGAGTGGCCTGCCCAGTGCCATTCTATTATTACCTACCAACTATCATCACCACGTGGACAGATACTGTGAGGCCCACCTGTGCAAATCACCATGGGAGATGCCACTTAGCCCAGGTAAATGAAATGCCCTGTATCAACTGCTAGGGAAGTTAACTTCAGGGTACCAATAGCCCCAACACTGTACTTTCCAGTTCCAGGTACTAGTCTTGCAAAGGAGATGCTGTGGGTCACAAAGGAATAAAGGCAAAGCATTTTAATGGATTTTTGTGCGTCCACCTATCAACCTCACTTAGAACAAGCAATGGAACCAGAGCCTTGCTGGCAACAGCACATCTTTACAACAACACTGCACTGTGCCATTCCTTACAGACTGTGACAAGGCAAAACACTGTATCAACTATGCAAGACAGTGGGGACTCCTCTGCTCCACCTGAGAGAGTCACGAGAGAAATACACTTTCTTCTTCACCAGGCAGCTCTCACGTCTAAATTCCTATTGATAAGGATTTCCTTAGATACAAAGACACTTAGCTAAAAACTATTATGTGATCTCAAAACCCAAAGTTCTGAAACCTTCCAAGGTAGCAGTATAAACCAGAAATATTGTGGTATCAAAGTTATAGGAACCTACCATTTTCCCCAGAAATAAAAACATGATAGATCAAAAGGGAAAATTTTGCTACTTAAACCATTTCTTTTCATACAAAGTATATTTATGTACAGAGGTCTGTGAAACCTTGATAGTATTACTACTGTCATATTGCTATAATTAACAATATAAATTATCAAGTATTACATAACTTTATTAGTAAGTAGCACTGCTGGGGACATATGTGTGTATGTGTGCATGTGTATGTGTTAACCAGTCAAAGGAAGTAACTACCAGAAGTAGTTAGAGAGTGGCTTTATCCCCCATGCACTCACCAATTACCATCTTAACACTTTTTTTTAAAAAAACAGTTTTCTTTTAGAATGCAAAATCCGAATTTTTACCATGGTGTTGAACTTAACAGCACCATAATTTCAGAGTCCGTTGTTTTTTCTCTTTTTGCATTGCCTCTGACATATGAAAGATCAGTAACTGTTCTATTAAGGAAAATGCTTCTAAATAATAACTAGGTACAATACTCCACCATCCTTATAAAGCTCAATATTACAAGGCATCCATCCAATTTTCAAAAGTGTAGATTAAGATAAAGACTTTTTTTTTTTTTCCGTAGACATTTTGGAGACTGACAAGCACTCCGTTATCCAACCACTCCCTCCCTGTCCACCCACAGCCTGAAGGCACGAGTGAATCACAAGTTCTCAAAGGTTTTAAATGAACCTACCTGCTATAGGGATCCCTCCCAGACCTGTGTTGTGCTGTGGCGGAAGATTCAAGTCCAAGAAATTACTATTTGAGGTGGGGTTTGCTGTGTGGTTCAAGTGCATGACGCTATTGCGTGGAAAGGCCATCCAAGGATAGCGGGTGGCCTGGCCTGGATAACTGAACGAATTATAAACTGCTCGGTGCTGCTGAAATTGAGGGAACCTCTGTGGCAAGACTGAAAAGGTACTATTGAGAGAGTTGGCATTTGCAGATGCAGCAGGATGCAGGAAGCCCGAGCCTGGACCTTTGGCAGCTGTAGTGTGTGAGGAGGAGTTCTGGCGTGCTGTGGGTGAGCGCGGAGCTTGGTCTTGAACTGACAGCTCCTTCTCGATCAGATCTGCTAAGGCTTTTCGCGTGACATCAAAGGGATCAAAGCCCAAGTCATCTTCCGGCTGTTTAGAAGAACCGAAGCCAAACGCTGCTTGCCAGTCTGTAGAGGATGAAACTGGAATTGTTTCTGTGGAGAAGAGAATTTGTGGTTAATATGAAATACACAGCTCCATTTCCAACTTCCTGAATATCCACTCACTATTGAAAAGTTAAAGGTGTAATGTCATAGGATGAAATTATCTGCAAAATCTGATTTCTTAAAATCTGATTTCTTAGCACATTCACTAAGATTATGTAACTACAAAAACTTTAAAAAAAAACAACTCACTGTCGTTGAGTCAGATCTGACTCATAGTGTGACCCCTCCTTGGGTTTCCAAGGTGGCATCACTACGGAAGTAGATCGCCCAACCTTCCTTCCAAGGAGTGGCTGGTGGGTTTGAACCGCCAGCCTTCTGGTTAGCAGTCAAGTGCCTTAGGCACCACGTCATCTCATATGTCTAGCATATTCTTTTCTTCTTAAAAAAGTATTTTGTTGTTTCTAGTACATTTTAAGGTACTAACTTCAAAAGCTGAATTTCACAGACTGACTTTTGCTCATCAAGCAAAATTACTCTCAGCTATTCATAATCAAAACCCAGAAAAAGTTATTCAGATAAAAGAGTGATAATAAATAAAATCTAGCTGATTGCAACAAGTAAAGCTCACTCTCAAAATGCTACTTATCAAAGACAAAATATCAGTAATTTCAAATCTATGCTTCATATACTATTAAGAAATCATATAATCTAATGGAAAAAGTATCTATTTATATTAAGCCTCATAGCTTTTTTTTTTTTTTTTAAAAAAAAGTTAGCTCCTCCAGAAGTGCTATTGTCAATGTCACAATAATAAGCTTACAATGAATAAAAATGAAAATGGCTCAAAATGCCAAAAAACAACTTCTACTACTAAATAACTTACCTCTATGTCAGTCTGAGGAAAAAATATTAAAGTCAACCAAAGAAACACAAATCTGATTTAAAATGTTGAAGTCCTCAATCCTTCCCAGAGGAATAAACTGTTTATTTTTGGGTAAAATGAGGTTATGACCCTTGATTTCTGGAGAGATCTGTCTTTTAACAGTCATTTCTTTTAGGCCCTATAGCAATTCATCTAACTGTTCAACTCCATGAGTTTAAAATGTTTACACCTTAATGAAGAAGGGAGTGGGGAGAGAAAAAGGATACCCATCTGTCCCCCATTGTTCCCCATCAGCCCGTCAACACTACAGGAAGAGACAGTGGGGTGCCTCAGTAGCTCTGCTGTGTACCTGATGTAAAGAGACTCTGTGGTTCAGGTGCTGTCGGCCAGTCACTGGATGTCTGCGGGGAGCTGGGGAAAGGAGGAAGCCCACTTGGGATGGGGTTGGGGTGACGAAAGTTGTCTGAGAATAACGACTGTGACTCTGTTACTGCCCCTTCAAAAGGAGACCGTGCACTGTGATTGGACGAACTGATGGGGATGACTGGGTTGGCTTTTGATAAACCAGGTGGTGGTGAAGGCGTATCACTGTTAGATATCTAAATATGACAGGAAAAGAAAATAATAATCAATACAAGTTTATACATTTTAGTAAGTCACAACTAAAAAAGGTTTGCGAGTAAATGCATTGAATAGTGGTCTTCAAACTAGGGAAATGAAGACACTGAGAGTGTGGAGTTTCAGAAAATCAGTAAGACCATTAACTTACAGGCATACTCTCTTCTAAACCTCATCTGCCTAAAAGGGGTGAAGCCACTCTCCTCTCCTTTCACAACCTGCTTCTCTCATTTTATAAAGGAAAGATGATTTCTCACTGTCTGGGACCCAACTATGGTATTATGGCCAAAAACGAAAACTTTGCAGAGGCTAACAATAATTTATTTGAAATAATCAGACTGGTGAGAGAGTGACTAACTCAAATGACAGAGTATTTCTACAAACATCATCATTCTCAATAGCTTATGTTCACCCAAACTGAAGAGAGGATGAATCAAGTTTTTTCCCAACAGGCCACTAAAAGTAATTTTTATGATAAATCTTTACCTAATTTTTAGCATTTAATTCAGAAGGAGTTCAAAGATTTGAACGAAAATGATATAAAAATACTCCCTTTTCTTCCATCTACTTATTTCTATGAACAATCTATGAAATTCTTAGCACTTGCACCTAGAAAAATGAAAAACTGACTGGAACTGTTGCTGGACCTTGTTTCGTGCTACCAATAAGTAATGCTCATCCAGGGAGACATGAAAAGTAATTTAAAAATGGCTCTATCCATATCATTAAGCAATACATTTCCAACATAATTTTAGTGTTTATATTTAATGATTACTCTTTACCAAAATCGACATATACAGTACTCAATACTACTAAGAAAAATTCAGAAGAAAAGAAGTTTTGGCCTTGAAAGCCTTGTGACAGCAAAAAAATTTCCACTTCAACAAATTAAACTTTGTTTAAGAGAAGGGTAAGCCTTTAAGCACACACTCTACCACATTAACATAAATTCTACAATGGCAGTGGAGATGGAAACATAAGTTCAAGGAGGAAAAGAAATGATGTCAAACTTCTTACTGGTAAAGAAGAGAGTGTATGTTTTTCTTCATGGATAATGGGTTATCAAAACATTGTGATATTTCATTTTTGAAGATACTTAGTACCTCAGAGTACTATGAAATCTTTTTATTTAAAAATGCCAGTATTTACAATATGCTGGCAATGACACTTTGACAACTATTTCCAACTTATTAAGAAAATAATTTTAATGTCAGCTTACAATGTGCAGGGGATACACAGATTTTCAAATTCTCTTAAGAATTTGTGGGCAAACATCTGAAAAGTACATAGCTCAAGATCTCCAAGTTGTTCCCAACACTGTGGGGGACTGGTCATTTTTCATAGAAGAGATTAGAGCTACATCTATTGTGCTACTACAAGACAATGTGCAGAAACTGAAGCATCAAAAAAAGAGCAGAAAAAAGTTCCTTGAGAAACTGAACAGATGACCCAGGGCTCTAAGGTCAGGGCTTCACTCAGCCTACATGGTGGATGCAACTGTGAAAAGCTTAAGCATCTGGTGGTACCACTTCAAAGCCAACAGGCACTGGGAGAAGTAAGAGTGAAACTGTTAGGGGCAAGTACACTGACAGAAACAGGAAATTAAAGTTGTCAGCTCGAGAAGAGGGAGCATATGATGGGAAAAAGAACTCCGAGATGCACGAACTCAGAGGGTGTGCTGGTCGGGACCACCAAGGACGTCAATACACTGCTATGCAGGGCAGTACTATACGGTCAGAATGATGACTGAGTCAGCATGAACTCAGAGGGTGTGCCGGTCGGGACCACCAAGGACATCAATACACTACCATGCAGGGCAGTACTATATGGTCAAAATGATGACTGAGTCAGCACGAACTCAGAGGGTGTGCTGGTTGGGACCACCAAGGACGTCAATATACTGCCATGCAGGGCAGTACTATAGGGTCAGAATGATGACCGAGTCAGGGTGAACTCAGAGGGCAGGGCAGTACTACATGGTCAGAATGATGACTGAGTCAGCAAGAAGGCTTACGCAATGTTCTACACATTATGAGGAGGAAAAGAAGACTAATCATAAAATATTTTAAAAAGATGTTCACCAAACCTGTTTTCAAATTTTTTTAAGAATTTAAGATATTTTTCACTATCTAGAAAATTCATTGGTATAGAACACCTTTTTTTGGGGTTGTTGTTTGCCATCAGGTTGGACCCGACTCATAGCGACCCCTCTTTGGGTTTCCCAGGCAGAATCACTACGGAAGTAGATTGCCCCATCTTCCTTCCCAGGACTGGCTGGTGGGTTTGAACTGCCAGCCTTCTGGTTAGCAGTCAAGTGCCTCAGGCACTACACTACCAGAGCTCCCTGTTTTGTGGGTACAGGATATAAATGAAGTAGTACTGTACCAGAATCTTACCTGCTGTGAATTATCACCATTCCCTATACTGAGAGAATCTGAAGGTTTGTCAATGGGGCTGTAAAAAGAAGACAAACCAAAAACAAATCAAAGTCAAGTCATTCTTTCACAATAAAAACCAACCCTCCCAAATGCAGAAAAACAAACATTTTCCCACCTGAACACACCTTTACTGAGGCAGTGTGATGTGAAATGTGAAGTTAGATGCTAAAGACAAGAAGAAGTAAGATTCTGCCCTTGGGCAACCTGCATGCAAATGACATTCTCTAAACCCACCTCCATTACAGTTTTTTAAACAGTGCTGTCCCGTTTTTCTAAATGATAAGATGAAAGTTATTGAGATGTTCTCTATAGGTTCTGAAGAGCCATACATTTATTTTAATACTTCAGTATCCTAATCATAACCATAGACAAGGTATGGGGGTATTTACACACACACACACACACACACACACACGACTGACAGAAACAAACAGCCTTAAACCGAAACATTAAATTTTATTTCCACACAGAGAAGACTAGACAGACAGAACTCCTAACTTCAAGTCCCCTGTAACTAGTATGACTTACAAGACAAAACAAAATCTCAGTCAGCATCACAACACTGATCCAGTGACTCCACTTTCATCATGAACTTTATTTAACTCAGCACATGAACAAGAGGTAAGGATTAGTGACCAGATGCGTAGTTCTAACAAAATAGGGGAAAAATTAAGATTCCAAACTCCTCAAAATCATCTTATCCCCTAGAAATACATCCAAAGCCATCTTAAAACTTATTGAAGCAGATAACTGTTGTTGTTGTTATGTGCCATCAAGTCAGACCCGACTCACAGCGACCCCTCCTTGGGTTTCCGAGGCTGTATCACTATGGAAGTAGATTGTCCAACCTTCCTTCCGAGGAGGGGCTGGTGAGTTTGAACTGCCAGTCTTCTGGTTAGCAGTCAAGTGCCTTGGGCACTACTAGGACGACATTTGTTTGCTCTGAAACATCTTAACCAGGGCAGGTCCCCACTCTGAATCCCCAGTGTGTCCTCTGCAGTGACACTGTCAGGTAGTCTTCATTCTGAAAATAGGTCTTTACTCTTTACTGACAAGGTGGCAACAAGTTAATGAAGAAAGAGAAGCCACCTCTAGTGGGGTAATTAGGGAAAGTTCCATAAAGGAGTTCAATTTAAGCAGGTCCTTAAAACTATTTACATACTTTGAGAAGGAAGGAAAATGGGAAAAAGAACAGCATTGAAACTGGAACAATGAATGTGTCAAGGGTCAAAAAGCTACAGACAGGGTTCAGAGAAAGTTACTTTGTCTGGCGAACATACAGGATGGTTAGAGTAACATGGAAAGAGGTGAGACTAGAAAGGCAGACAGAGGCCAGACTCCAGAGGCCAAGAGAAATCCTGAGCACAGAGACGACAAAACAAAGCAGTGTTTGAGAGTAATTTGGTGGCGGTGTGAAGAATGGACTGCAACATAATTGAGATAATCCGAGTTAGAGTTGCAGTATTCTTATAATATGGGAATAAGGGTTTAAAGTTGAGAGGAAGCAGAAGTAACAGAAATGAAAGGATGAAAGCAAAATATCGCAAAGGAAGAACTTCAGTGTCTTAACTCAGTTCTTCGCAGTCAGACCACTAAAGAGCACTAAACAATCATCTTCCACGAGGTGAAGGCAGTATGTGTGATGGAAAGAGCAATCTGTGAAGGTATTAGGGCACAAAGGACAGATCTGGAGGATGTGCCTGGATTAGAGCTAAGAAGAAGAACTCGTATCATGTCTTGTCTGCACCCCAACTGCTTCCACAAGCACTGATTCTCAATAGCCTCTGCTCCGCCTGGGAAAGATTTAGAGACACTGAAAAACTTCCAGATCAGTGTCATGAATCCAAAGGGAGCTGCAGAAACCCAGGACTGCGGCAAGACACCACCAAACTGGTATCTTAGCTTCACCCAGGTTTAGCATATTCTTCCATTTATTTTAACAATAATGAACAGACTTAATGAATAGTAAATAGAAGGCTTTGTAAGTAAAGATACAACTAGAAATTATTTTATTTCCTATGTGGACTTAAAAAAAAGTCAATTGCTGGCATAACACAGTACAGAAATATTTTGTTCCACATCCTACTTTGGTGAATAGGGGTCTTTCGAGCGGCCATCTAAGATGCACCTATTGGTCTCTTCTTATCTGGAGCAAAGAAGAGTGAAGAAAATCAGGGTCATTTGGAAACACTTAGTCCAAAGATATGATGGACCATAAGGACCTCAGCCTTCACAACCCTGAGGCCAGAAGAACTAGATGGTGCCTGACTACCAATACCAACCACTTAGAAAGGATCAAAGTGGAGATCCTGGATGGAGTGGGAGGAAAAATGTGGAACAAAATTCAAAAACACAAAAAGGACCAGGATTACTGGTTGGATAGGGACTGGTGGAGCCCCCAAGACTATGGCCCTGGGTTATCGTTCAGGATACAGTGGTACAGTAACTGCTCTAATTTCTTATCTCTGGTCGTCTCTTCTATCTCCTTACTCACTCTTTCCACCACAAGCCCCAATTATTTTCCCCTCTCAGAGCCATCTTTCTTGATCCCACATTCTCATCAACTTTGCTTTGCTAATGCCTCTACTGGAATAAACCAAACACAAGCTAAAAAAAAAAAAAAGAGTCAACCATAATTAACATTGCCATTGTCAACACAAGTATTATTGCAAAAGAGAGAAGCAAGCCGGCAGGATCCCTGCCAGCACCTGTGTAACTCCACAGGAAGAAAATCTACTTACAAATTTCAATAAATGTGACCCCTTGGCTCAACATTCAGCAACTGCTAGTGAGGCCAAAGTCTCACAACTCCCTGACAGCAGATGTCATGCTGCCTTTGGGTCGGCTCTGCATCCACTTACTCTGAGGCAGTGTTAATGAATTTGCTGCTGCACTTAACATCCACCTACCACCCGTTACCATGCCAGTGATTTAGAAAAAGGGTAACAAGCGTCAATCAACATCAGACTTATTAATGAAGAAAGACATCTACCCATGAAATGGACCGGTCTCTGGTCAAGAACCTCCATTGCCCTGGGCACACTAAGATAAAGTGCATGGCTTTTTAATTTACAAACCAAACAAAAAACCTGACAGATATTCTAAAATCAACCTCTTTGCCACACTAAAATTAAGCCTATGTTTTGAAGCCAAAGTTTTGTTGTCCGTGCAGTTTCCAACAGGAAAGACTTCTGTGTAACAGCTGTTTGCATGGCACACAGCACAGAAGTGGGCAGAAGAAGGGAAGGCCTAGAAATGGTGCAGAAGAGTCACAGCATTTTAATTTGGTTCCCGCAGGCAGAAACAAAGAAAAACAGGTACCAACATTAACTGAACTAAAAGAAAGAATGCGAGAGGCAAGAACAAAGGTTGGCAAGTTCTCTGCCAAAGCCAGGAGCTGGGAAACCACCCGAGCAACAGTTCCCCAACACTAACAACAGTCACCCCCAAGGCCACTGCACCCACAGCTGACTGACAAGCAGGGATTCAAGTGGACCCCTGAGTACTGACAGGCAGCCAGGTGTCACGCCAGTCAAGAATACCTCCAGGAGACAATGCCGTGCCATGTGTAAAACCCCGCAGATAAAAAAATTCTTAAGCATGTAATGTACGCATAGAAATATCCTCACTCATTTTTCTGTAAGTTCTCATCTGAAACAGCTCTGAACCCACGGGGAGAGGACAGACTGCTTAGGAGTAAACACTCTGAAATTAACCCAGCCAAATCTAGTGCTAGAAAGATTCTCAGGGTGTATAGATGGGTTTTTCATCAGAGTATAAAGGACACATCCTGACTGCATCCCTAGAGGCCCCGCCTCAGTGGGTCTGAGTTGTGGCCCCTGCTCCGAATGCTGCCATGGAAGCTGTGAGGAGGAGTACAGTGAAAAGGTTAACTACAGCATCCAGTCTCCATAAAGTCTCTGAAACTATTAGATTTCACAGCTGCAAGCAATCATTAAAATCTACTTTAAATCATCTGCTTTACAGATCGAGAAACCAAACAGGCAGGCAGTGACCCCGCAGGGCCTCAGTCTGCATTTCCAAATGCTCAGCCAAGTGCGAGGTCCTTCAGGTGAATGGAAGGAACGCAGAGCGCGACAGTACTTCCTTCGTGGCAACAGCAACCAAACCCCTGAAAAGACTCTCGTGGCTGCTTTTCAAAATTTGGAACATGAAACAATTTATTACAAAGGAGGAGGATCAAAGAGGAAACCACTGAGGAGGGCGGGGCATGGGATAGAAGAGAACACTGAGAAGTCTCGTATCTCTGTTCACTGAGTTCAAAAGAGAAAGATCATCCCAGTGCTAGTATTCATTTTTAGTTATTATCTTGGAGATATATAGGAGCTCTGGTAGTGTAGTGCCTAAGGCACCTGACTGCTAACCAGAAGGCTGGAGGTTCAAACCCACCAGCCACTCCTCGGAAGGTTGGGCAATCTACTTCCGTAGTGATACAGCCTCAGAAACCCAACGGGGGTCGCTATGAGTCGGGTCCCACTTGATGGCACATAACAACAACATCATCTTGGATATAAGGTAAAATTAATATATAGACAAATGTCAATACAACGGACATTCCCAAATTTCACTGTCCTGTTATGATACATACAAATACCAAATGAGGAACTCTGGTGGTACTTTGGTGAAAGCATTAGGTTGCTAACCAAAAAGTTGATAGTTCAAACCCCCCAGCTGCTCCACAGGAGAAAGATGAGGCAGTCTGCTTCAGTAAACATTTACAACCCTGGAAATCCTATTGGGCAGTTTTATTTTGTCCCAAAAAAAGGGTGACTGTAAGTCAGAATTGACTACATGGCAGTGGATTTGGTTTTGGTTTTTGTTCCTAAATTGAGTATTCCCATATCCATTTAGAATAATTCACTTTAATTTTCATGTTCTGAAATAAACATTTTCTACTGAAAAGGACATGTTTAAATTAAAAATAGGTAAAACCTGCCTGTGTAGAATAAATTTTATTTGATTCAGGCTTCAAATACACATTAATATTTATAGCAT